CTCTCCAAGGAACCGGTCCCTGGTGCCCAAAAGGTTGGGGACCTCTGCCCTAGATGGTCAAACCATCTCAATGCATTTCTTTTCAAATCCAAGAACACTCTCTTAAGATCTTACTTGATCCCCAGATTTAAAATAAACCAAGGACATGGCTACAATATCGGGAATGCAAAAATATTACCAACCAGTAGATGGCAGCAAAGATTTGATATTTCCTCTCTGCCTTTGTGGTCTTCTCCTGGTTATCCAGAGTTTTGCACCTCAGATATAGTTGTCCTACAGAAGAACGAAGTCCAGGCAGAAGAAGAACATCATGGCTTCCAAATCTAAGGGACTGGTTTGGACAAAACTCAGCAGCACTTTTTCGTGTGGCTGCTGATAAAAATAGGATCGCCAACATCCGATAACGGATATGGCACAAGAAGAAGAAGACGACATAGGAACGGTGAGCAAAAAAACAAACAAACGAAAATTAAAAAAAAATTCCTTCATGCACAGAGAAAAATTAATTTATGAATAGGCTGCAGTTTGCACGGCCATAACTAATGGGTTATGTGAAACAGGTCTCTGTTATTTTTGTTGCAACAAGAACACAATTCTGCTGGGAAAAAAAGTTAACCAGCAGAGGGTAGTAGCAAGCTGAAAGCTATCCTAGAACTTCAGCTACTAAGCTGAAATGTACATAGTTGGAAAATAGTATCTCAGGATGCAACCTGCACGTTTTTTCTCTCTCTATTCCTGATATGCACACCGTCTGCTATTCCGATCCTTTGCTCGTGGCATCTTCAGTTTGCTTCCCATCCTGAATTATTATAAAGGTCAGTAAACATATCATTGATATTTATATGTTGATCAGCTTGTTAGCCAAGTACTTAAGAAAAAGGGAATCTGACTCAAAGCATGGTGATGATTTTGAGTCAGCTTTTGCAGGAGAAACTCTTCTTTTAGCATTTTGTCGGCAAAAGAATAAATTTCTGAAACATGATCCAGAAACGGCATTATTTCAAAAAAAAAAAGAGAGAAGGAAAGGGAGAGAAGTAACATAAGCTAAAAGCAAGATTTTTGCTCACATTCTGCTTTTTGGAGCATTTTTAGGAGGTTGGCTGGGCAGAACCTGAAAGGAAAGGAATCTTAATTAAAACAGTAGGGCTTACCTTTGAGAAAAAGAACTTTAGCCTCTATTGCAAGTTATATTTACTTAGAATTTAATTTACCAAGCTCAGGGAATGCATCTTCTAAGTACCCTTAGTAAGGGTTAAGCTTCAAAAGTGCTAATTCTTAATAGCTGCTCCATTCCAGACACTCTGCTATATTTTATAGGACTTATATTCAGGAAAGAAATCCGTGTTGTTTATCAGGGGAAAAATGTATTACCTTTCAGTGATAGCTCACAGGTGTAATTAACATTTTTATAGGTTCTTTCAATTGCCTCCTTCCTGAAATTCTCTGTTAAGGTTGAAATCCTATTTTATTAAAAACTTACAGATACATTTCATACATTCATATAACCCCCTATGTGTTTCAAATGTTTTGAATGTTGCATGATTAAGTGATATCAGTTCCCCTTGCCTAGATAAACAAAAGACTTCTAAACAAACCTAGAAAAGTAGATGCTTAAAATATATCCAGTCTAAGTATCTGCCTAATCTACAGTGTATTGTTAAGACAATTTTAGATGGTCAATTTTAGTGGACTTAAGATAGCAATAGCAATAGCAGACTTATATACCACTTCACAGTGCTTTACAGCCCTTATCTAAGTGGTATATAGAGTCAGCGTATTGCCCACAACAATCTGGGTCCTCATTTTACCAGCCTCGGAAGGATGGAAGGCAGAGTCAACCTTGAGCCAATGAGATTCGAACAGCCTGCAACGCTGCATTCACCACAACTCTTGGACATTAAGATGACAATGTGTTTTATTTCATTAATGACTGTCAAAGGGGATCATTCAGTTCAGCAGCCTTCCCATTCATTCTGTGGTGTAGATCTTTGATTGCAGATCCCAGGGTGACTAACCCACAAATTGTTGCTGAATCTTAACTTCGTCTCCCACAACTCTCTAGTCAACATGTATGGACTTCAATTTCCAGAATTCCCCAGCCACCATGCTTGGACTTCTGGGAGTTGAAGCCCACATATCTTAAAAGTTGCCAAGATTGAGAAATACTTTTTTTTTTAATTGGAAAGTTATAAGGATATTTCTGAATACAGAAGGAATAATAAAACTGTAGTATAACGAACTACCCTCCCACCCTCTGGAATGAACTACCCCCAGAGATCAGGGTGATCCCTGATCTCCCTTCCTTCCGCCGCGCCCTTAAGACTTGGTTATTCCAGCTTGCGGGACTGGCCTAGGGGAAAAATTTTTAATGGGGGTTTTAAAGTAATTTTAAACTATTAGACCAATTATTAATATTTGTTTTTAATTATGTTTTTAAATCTGTAGTTTTGGGAGTTGCATTTTTATCTGGTTGTTAGCCGCCCTGAGTCCGCAAGGAGAAGGGCGGGATATAAATATAAATAATAAATAAATAAATACTTTAGATTTAATGTTTAATTTAAATATCCTAAACCCTACATTTTGGAAAGAAAACTCCAGCAGACCATTCAAATAGAAAACTACAATCTTCAGTTTGAAATACTTAGCCAGCCCTAAGTGGTTGCTGTCGACAAAATGCGATATTCATGGGTTTGTCATCAGTATCTCTATATTTTTTAAAGTCTGAGCAGATGGAGGAAGTTCATGAATTCCATAAAAAAAGAAATGCAGTATAATTTTACCTTATTTTTCTGTACCTAGCTCCTATGTCTAATTACATTCCCTTATGCAGATTTCCTATCACTAGAACACACAGACCTGAACAGGTACAAAAAACTGATTTTAGGAAAAGGAACTCGATGGCTCTGCCAAAGTTCTTCAAACATTTGTGCTCGGATGAAAAATTAACAAAAATCAAAAGCAGAGCTGAGAACCAACCATTGTAGAACACTTAGCATCTCCTCTAAACAGTGTAATTGGGTGTCCCTGCGAACAGAAGCTGGATTAATTTGTCTTCTTTTCCTTCTTGCCTTCCCCCAGCTGGTATCTTCTATTTACGGAGGAACAAAATTTAATTCATAGGGATTTTTCAGATAAATTGATCTAGTTTGCTCAAAATGCTACACAAGGTTTGACTGGGTTGACGTAGTTTCCATATAAAATCAGCAATTGATTCCACAAGCCATGATTAAACAAACAACAGTGCAGGGTTTTGAGTTTGGTCGCTCTCTGGATTTCTCTAGCTCTCTAATGCTCGTGAAACTCTTAAGGAGATTCCAGGTCAGTGGTTCTCAACCTTTTTAATGCCGCGACCCCAACCGGTCGTAAGTCGAGGACTAAACCGGTCATAAGTCGAGGACTAAACCGGTCGTAAGTCGAGGACTACCCAACCGGTCATAAGTTGAGGACTTTCCCTACCCGGGAGCGCCGTGCATGCGTGGTTCCGCCCCTGCGCCGGCCGAGGCATAGCTGGCAAGCGGCAGAGACGGAGCAGGCCGACCACCAGCTGGCCCAGCCCAAGGGAGGTAAGGCACCCGCCGGAAAAGGGGGAAAAATGGCAGACAAAAAAAAATGGCGGACAGCCTTGCTTGGCGACCCCCATGAAATGGTCGATCGACCCCAAATGGGGTCCCGACCCACAGGTTGAGAACCACTGGTTTAGACACTCACATGATCTCTCTGAATTGGCCCCATCTGCTTCAGGATTCCAGGTGGATCTGTGACCGAGGTTCATAACAGCTCGTGGCGGAGTATATTTCGTATTTCCATGGTCACGTGGCCAGCATGATGTCACAGAGTGCTGTTACTTTCCCATCAAAGTGGTGCCTATTTATCTACCTGCATTTGCATGCTTTGGCAGGAGCTGAGGCATGGACCACCGCTCACCCCATTCTGTAGCACTTGGGTCTTGAACCTCGGCTGCTGACTTTCCAGCCGACAAACTCAGTGTCTTAACCACCGTGCTGCCCTTATTTATTTGTATCCTGCCTTTATTATTTTTTTACAAATGACTCAAGGCGGTGAACATATCCAACACACCTTCCTACTCCTATTTTCCTTTCTCCTATTTTTAGAAAAGCATTTTATTTATTTATGCATGCATGTATGTATATATATATATGTGTGTGTGTGTATTGCTGAATATTTCAAGCCACCCTCTCTTCGCAACACAGCTCTGTCAGCTGTGATCAGTGCAATTCCAGACCTGGCATGTTGCTAACATATTTTTCAGTTTGTCAGTCTTTAGGGAAAGCTGTTTACCAGATTCCCTGTCATTCTAAATCTCTCCCTCCCTTTTCTTCTTCTTCTTCTTCTTTTTTTAAATTGCTGTTTTCAAGCACCCCTGCAGCAAAATCCTTCCCTTGAAAAAGTAAACAAGGAGGTTGTGATCTTGAGATGAAAGAGTAAAGTTACGGAGGAGCCTGCAAAAGCTACTCAGAGGAAGATGGGGACGGCGTTAAAAGGCAGGGGACGCCTAATGAGCTGAAAGGACTCAAACTCGTGGCCTTTGAAAGCATTTCCTTGGCGGCTTCGAAAACAAGTCCTTCAAAAGATGGCCCACGAATACGGAAATGCATCAGGACAGAAGGAATTTTTCTGAAATATAGAGAACTGAACCAGGCTAAAATCCAGCACCCATTGTATTTAATAGATATCTCCTTTTTCCATATCTGATTGGTGTGAAACAATGTCAAGGCTACTCTACCATCCAAGCTGAGCCTGATTTGGGGTGGCTTTTAGGACACATCTGCGTAATATTCTGTGGAACAGTAGAAAAGTGAACTGTTGTTATCTCCTCCTGGAATATTTTTCTTTCAACTTGTCAGCCCATCCATATCTGAAGCAGAACCAATCCTGCTTAGCTGTTGATCCCCAAGAAGGTCAACTACTTGCAGAGACAAGGTGAGATGGAGCTCAAAGTGAACGCTGCCTATTCTACTTACGGTCAAATCCAGATTCTACTGTGATTGACTCATGGAATCCACCAGCTATTGGGATACTGGCTTCTTTAATGGTACCGGCTCTGGGGTAGCACTGAGGAACAGCTCCAATTTCAGCTCCCAGTTTACTAGTGTGGAGCTGATCCAGTCTTTCAAACCTCTGATCATCCCCTGCTACACCTTGGTGGTGCTTGTCGGCATCTTTGGCAACTACCTTCTTCTTTATGTCATCTGCAAGACCAAGAAAATGCACAACGTCACCAACTTCTTCATTGGAAACTTGGCCTTCTCAGATATGTTGATGTGTGCAACCTGCATCCCCTTTACTCTGGCATATGCTTTCGACCCCCAGGGGTGGATCTTTGGGAAGTTCCTGTGTTACTTTGTCTTCCTGATGCAGCCCATGACCGTCTATGTGTCTGTTTTCACACTTACAGCCATTGCTGTGGACAGGTAACGAAATGTTTCCTAGTAATCAAGAGTCTAATGCAGTATTTCTCAACCTTGGCAAGCTGGAAGACGTGTGGACGTCAACTCCTAAAATTTAGGAAGTTGAAGCTCACACATCTTCAAGTTGCCTGGATTAAGAAACACTGGTCTAAAGAGACTTGTGTCATGTGTCTGATTAACGAAACACTTAAAAGGACTTTCAGGCATATTTTCTCCTAAAGCATTTATTAAGGTTACAGAGACGTCAGTACAGCATGGTGGAAATGCTTAGGTCTGGCTTCTCTTCCATTACGCATACATTCCAAGCATTTTTCCCTGCCTCTATTTTGGGGTCATGGTTCACATCTTCCAATTAACTTGGAAGATGTGATTTACGCTATCCTTATTCTCCTCCCTTTTCCCTGTTGCCTGGTTTAACTATAAAAATACCAGACAGTTCTGCATATTGTCAAAGCAAGAATATACAGTATTTGCAGTGTTGACAACTTGGTTCATACACTTCTCGCTGAATGTCACATTTGGCATGTTAACCAGAGAATTAGATTCATTTGACCTGCTGTGCGTTTCCCTTATTTGGTTTTGCCCAAATGTGTTGTGTGAATCTAAAGATTGGAATTTATTTGGTGAACCATGTTTAGGCAAATGATGCCTTAACACAAGGTGCAAATCTAGGTTCTGTGTTAAGAGGGAGCCCTGCAGGTCATGGTGAAATACATGATTGACAGAAGACCTCTTATTCAGTCATTGAACTCCTAGTTAAGTTGAAATGCAACTCACCTTGAGGTCATGCAGCTGGGATGTTTGTGTTACTCTTAAGGATTGAAGCCCTCCAGGAAGTTGATCAAGAGTTCCTCACTCTTCCCAAACCTACTCATAAATTGTGAGGATTGATCCTGGGATTCTCTGTCTGCCAAGAATGTACTTAACATTAGATGTTGGTTCTTTCCTTAGGACAATATGATAGGTCAATGTTCTTTCTTATGTCCTATAAATGTCCTACTGTTTTCATTTCATTCCTGCCAGAAAGGAACTTATTATAGTTGGAGGAGATTAAACTGGTACTTCCTTCCAGCAGAGAGTTAAAAACACAGAGCATTTACTGGTTGATCGTCATTATCCTGTTGTCAGCTCTTTTCCACACCTCACTTACTGTATCATCCTTTCCTCTCCAACCTCTCATTATGTTTCTAACTTGTGGCCAACTGCTTTGGTAAATAAGTTAATTTTTACACCCTTTGTCCTCCATAGGTGGGCTGAGCGAGTGACTATAACCAGAGATTTAGATTCATTTGCTCGGCTTATCCTTTTCACAGCCTGGTCCAAGGAAGGATCACAGAGACAGTTGGTCTCTCACTGCAATGGGAATTGTCCTTGTTCTTCAATTAATAATGTGATATCTTATTATTTGCCACAGAGAAAGAAATCAGAGCCGGGGTCATCAAATGTAGCTGTTGCCTTTGGAAAGCCAGACAAACATAGAAACGGTTTGGAACTGGGAATGGGTGATGGAACATTTCCATAGCAACATAGTCCTTGCAAAGGTTGGAGGTGCAGCTTGTTGTAACTCTGGCACTTCCTACCAATACATTGAGCAGCACATCCGAAAGGAGTGGGATGCATCCCACAAAAAGTAGATAAGACCAAGACAAAAAAGTTGAAGCTGATGGGACTAAATAAATAGTTAAAATATAAAATAATAATTGCGTATCTGGAAGCCACAATTCTAGGGCAATCTTTGAAGGCTTCTGGAGAGTCTCTGCTTGGGCTTTTACAGGGCTCATGGTATCTTGGTCCAAGTTGCAAACAATACTGATTGAAAACAATGGGCCAGATTGTATAAGAGATCTATTGATATCTACAGACCCTGCTGTAGGAAAAGAAGAGCCAGCTCCTTAAACTTTCCAGGCTAACGTGTTTGTCACGTCCATAACAGGACAAAACTAGATTACATCTGATTCTTGACCATGCATTCCCCTGGATTTAATACAGGTGCCCATATGTGCACCATGTTCCACTTCGGTTGGCCTTTGTAAGTGGTATATGTGGTGGCTCAGTGAAATAGCAGATAAGAGAGAAAAGAAAATCTTACCTTTTTAATCTCCTTTTCCTTTAGAGAACTCAAGGCCGAGAACTCCCCCTTCTCTCCACTCTGTATCCATCAAAAGAATATATTCCATAAATAGCTGTGGTTTGACTGCTCTTCAGATGGAGAAGCTTCTTCAGTAGAGGGCCTACAGAGAATAAAAGGGAAAATATTGCTCACTGCCCATAGAGAAAATCCTCCACAACCAAATGAATGTTCTCTGAGTAGGGTTCCCCCCCCCAGTGTTCCCTCCATTCTCAAGGAGTGTCTTGCCATGGAGAATAGGTTCATAATTAGATATCAGAATGCAGACAGCGATCATTCCTGATTGATAGTTCCCATTCTCAAATAAGCTGTTGACTGCAGCACAAGAGGAACAGAGGAACAAAATGCAATCTATGAAAATAATTCTTTGTTGCTCTTGAAACGGTGGTGGGTACGTCAGTGAACATTTTTTATTTCTACGGATCATTTTTTAAAGCGGCAACGGACGACATTGGTTAGGATATACATATTTGGGCGTACCTGAATTTTTGGTGATGTGTTTCCTCTGATCTGGGACTACCTTGTAGAGAAGGAAGCAAATTTTCATTTAGCAAAGCCTCCCATGAGGGAGTGTTTTCCCTTTGATTCCGATATTGTCCAAAGACATCCTGCAAAGTATAAAATACCTATTAAACTTTGCAACCTTGGAAGAAAGTTAGAGAACCGGCAGTGACGGGGAACAGAGGCCATTAAGCAGGTTAGAAACTGGCAATGGGACAGCAACTCTCATGAAAATGTCAGCTTCTGCCAACCGCTCACAGTGGGGAAACCGCTTTTATCTCAGAAATTTGGGACTTTAGAAAGATTTGGCATATATTTTTTAAAGTCAGAGCTAGAGGAGGGCTTTGGTTTATTGGCAGGCTTTGAGAGAGACCAGGAAGAACCTGCTGTGTGTGGTATAATTGACCACCTGAAAAGAAATACAAAGCCTCTGTGATTCATTCTTCCACAATATAGATTGTTCCCGTTATTTTATTCTGTGATGAGGATGCTGATGGGATAACTGGCAACTCCCAAGGATTGAGATCATTCGGGGATGTGTTTTATCTTGGGACATGCCTCTCTTATTTAATTAAACCCAACAGAAATAGAACGTAAATTAAATCAAACCAGGAGGTAGAGAAGAATGCTGGACTAAATCCACATTAGGCACCTTGAAGGTTTTGTCGGCTTCTGTGGACCAGCCTGGCATTTTCTTTGGTTGATCATTATTGGTCTAGTCCCAGGGGTGGGCAACCTTGGCTCTTTTATGACTCGTGGACTTCAACTCCCAGAATTTCTGAGCTGGCATGGCTCAGCTTGGAAACCTCTCCCTTTCCCCTCAGCATGGCTGGCTCAGGAATTCTGGGAGTTGAAGTCCACCAGTCATAAAAGAGCCAAGGTTGCCTACTCCTGAGCTAGTCACTGGTAAGGTTGCACCTCTGAATACCATCAAAGAAACTTGAAAGATCATAGTTAAAACCCTGGACTTTGATGGCTTTTCCATATAAAGATGTAATAGTAATAATAATAATAATAATAATAATAATAATAATAATAATAATAATAATAATAATAACAATAACAACAACAACAACAACAACAACAACAACAATAATAATAATAATAATAAAGTTGGAAGGGACCTTGGAGGTCATCGAGTCCAACCCCCTGCCCAGGCAGGAACCCTACACCGTTTCAGACAAACGGCTGTCCAGTCTCTTCTTAAAAATTTCCAGTGTTGGAGCATTCACCACTTCTGGAGGCAGGTTGTTCCATTGGTTAATTGTTCTAACTGTCAGGAAGTTTCTCCTTAGTTCCAGATTGCTTCTCTCCTTGATCAGTTTCCACCCGTTGCTTCTCGTCCTGCTTTCAGGCGCCTTGGAGAATAGCTTGACTCCCTCTTCTTTGTGGCAGCCCCTGAGATATTGGAACTCTGCTATCATGTCCCCCTTCGTCCTTCTCTTCATTAAACTAGACATACCCAATTCCAGCAACCGTTCCTTATATGTTTTAGCCTCCAGTCCCCTAATCATCTTTGTTGCTCTTCTCTGTACTCTTTCTAGAGTCTCAGCATCTTTTTTACATCGTGGTGACCAAAACTGGATGCAGTATTCCAAGTGTGGCCTTACTAAGGCATTGTAAAGTGGTAT